ATATATATATATAAAAAGCTATTAGTATGGTATAAAATGTTCAGCGTGTTAGTGCAAAAACAATAAAATATTATTCCATTTACTATTCTGTTCCACATTTAAGAGTTCTATTCATTCCAGGCAAAATGTACCATTCCTTGGAATTTGTATCACTGATATCAGAGGGACAGCAATAGATTCATATTAAATTTAAAAATGTATCTTTGTTTGCATCAAAGGTTCTTTCTCACAGCCTGGAAGGCAGACACAGAAGTGAAGAAAACTTAGAAAATCTATCAGTTGGAAGAAACTGTGTGGAGCAAAAATACACATTTTCTGTTTTGTTTTTGGGTTGGTATTCCTGCTCTTCGGAATGTATTTCCAGGTCATTTGTAACAAAAAGAGAAAAAGGAATTCTCAGCCCCCAGAAGAACAGCAAATTATTATTTAGACATAATGAATTGAGACATTTTCAATTGCATGATGGTGCTAACCATTCTGAAAAAGAAATAGGGATCTAACCACAGCAAAAGGCTTAATAGCATAATCATCTGATGTGGAACAGAAAAGAAAGGAAAAGTAATTGGTATTTGTGTTTACTACATTTCACATCTGAGATTCTGATTTTGAATGAAAATCTGTATAGATATTAACAGAAAAAAGTGTTCATTTTAAAAAACAAGTTATATAAATTAAGCATACTTCAGAGTATGATTAACATCTGCTTAATGACAGTATCTGCCAAAGCTAGAACAGCTAAATTAAAGGCTAAATTTCCAATAAATGTGAATTTTAAAAATCTAATCCTTCTACTTTACTTTGTACAGAACACTTTTAAATTATTTGGAACTGATTAATTCTTGTTTTTGGAAAATAACGCAATAGTGTTGCGTTAAACTTGCTGCAAAGTGGCATGAAAGCAAGTTACTTAGATTACATAAGCATGCAAATAATTTATGAATCAAGCCCTAAAGATAGAGGGTAGGGGGAAAGTGGAACTGAAAATTAAGACTAAATGAAATGCTAGCACTGAAGCCATAGGTGCTGAAGATGAGAGTGTAATGAGATTAAGTAACACAATGTTAAAAATCAGAATAACCACCTTCTACAGTTAGTATAGCAGTTGTTGTTACTTCTCCATGGTCATTACGAACGGTACAGCTATATAATCCTTGATCTAAAAGTTGGACGTTAAGAATGGTGAGGAATAGAACACTTCCACTTTGTGACATTCTTATTCTTTCGGACTCTTGAAGTGCTTCTCCATTGTGGGACCACAAAACTACATTAAAGTTCTCGCTTTCGAAAGCACACATAAACTGAGCAGTGTCGCCACATCTCACAGTGAGATCACGAAGCTTCAGAAGAATCTTTGGAGCAGTCTCTCCTTCTACTTGAATTGAGGTTGTACCTATTTTGGTACTTTCTGATTTCTGGGTTATGGCTGTAGACTGGAACATTCCTGCTTCTTTCTCAGCTGCGGCTTTCCCAGTTGAAGTTCCAGCAATGGGTTCAAAGACCTGCACAAGCGTTTCTTTTGAAGGCTCTTGCATTGACTGAATTTCTTTTAAATAAACTTGGCTTTCCTTCTTTGCAAAAGGGGAAGCAATGTAAACTTCTGATTTGTCCTGGACAGATTTTCTTACATCTTTCCCAGAACTTTGCCTATCTAGGGCTTGCACTGTGTAATCAAGTAACAAAACATATGATTAATACTGAATTCCCTTCAAATTGCCCAATTAAAAATAAAATTATATGTCACAGATGATGAGAACAAAACATGTCATCTTCTTTGTGAAGGCTGGCATGCCAGGTGCATTCGTTAGGGCACTTTTGGTAGAAAGCATAATACATAAAGAAACTCCAGCCACAAGGACGAATGAGAAATGAAGGGTGTTCATGCTGATAGGGTGGGCTAGGCATTTGTCTCTTCTTTTCATTGTGACTGTCCATGGCAATTTGGAGGTGTTTACGGTCCCCAAGAGGATAACTGTCATGTATCATTTGGTCCCCATGTTTCCCTTTTAAAACCGAGTAGAGCAAACCTCAGAGAATTTGACCAACTGCCAACACCTCCCTATCTCAACATGTGCGTCTATTTACTTTCCTAAATCGGGGTTGGATCCGAAGTATAGAGCTAGGATGCAAATGCTAAACAATCGGACACTTGAAAGAATAGGAAAGAAGAGTGCTTTATTTGGTTACTGCTAGAATTATATCCACATTAGTGAAGGTACTTCTAAATCTAAAGAAGTGTGAAACGAGGAAAAGGAGGTCATTAGTCACAGTCTGGAACGTGTGGTTTATGCAACAAACTGAATCCCTAGGAAGAAAAATGGGGCTTTACCTTCAGTGGTCACTGTAAGTGTAGCTGTGCAAGTTGCATCTCCAGCACTATTTCTGGCTTGGCAAGAGTACTGCCCAGCATGTTCTGAGAAAGCATCTACTATTATCAATATGGCTGTGCCAGTCGACTCATCAAAATGGAAAACTACATCTTTGGATGGCAACATTAGCTGCTGGTTATGAAACCAGAGGATTTCTGGTTTGGGCCTGGCAGAAACCCTGGCTTGGAATCTGACTGTTTCCCCGCTGCATACTCTGCAGCTTGAAACGGGCTGGATAAAGACGGGCCTTTGGCCAACGGATTCCTTCTTAATGGAAACAGATGAAGAATATGAGGTAATTTCTTCAAGCTTAAACCCTGAAAAGAAGCATGTCATCTTTTAATTGCTTGCTCCCACTCAGCATTCTCTTGCTCTCCTACCAGTCTTCCATTATATTCCTCCTTTCCCTGCTGGCAACATTTATCATGGAAAGACCCCACAAAAATTGGGATACCGCATGGGATCAAATGCCTCCAGTCTGATTATTGCTTTTGACAAATATTCACGTTTGACTTAGCATCATACAAGTGACTCTGTTCCCTAAATTAGGGAAATCCAGTTAAAGATGTGCTACAAATCTAGGTACATTAACCATAGAATTCCTCCTGTGTCTTTTAAAACACACTGGAATGCTAATATTTGTGCTCATGTGGACATTCCTTGTCCTGTTGGTCTTACATAAATTTCATTCATATTAAGAATGCCTAACTATTTGATGTATTTAATATAAACAGATAGGGTCAGCTTGGTGCAGTGCTTAAGGCACCAGGCCAGAAACCAGGAAGCCATGAGTTCTAGTCCCACCTTAGGCACCAAGCCAGCTGGGTGGCCTTGGGCCAGTCCCTCTCTCTCAGCCCTAGGAAGGAGGCAATGGCAAACCACTTCTGAAAACACCTTGCCAATAAAACTGCGGGGCCTTGCCCAGGCAGTTGCCAGGAGTCAACACTGACTCGAAGTCAACATTGACTATATATACGCATACATCAGGGCAGCTATCCAAAGATATCCAAAGTGGCTTGGACATGCTTTGAATCAAATTCTTGGAACAGCAGATAGTCCCATGGTCTGTTTGGAAATCCCCTGGATTATGATGTTTTGAGAGTGACTATATAACATTACTTTATTTACACTTTCCCAAATAATTTGAGGATCTCATCTACCCACTATATTCCATATTTCTCTACATACTGCACTGCAGTTCTTGTCAGTTTAAGTGGGTCAAAATGCATTTTTATATTTATCTGCCCATTTTGAGAGGAAATGCACACTGAAATACATATTCAAATATGTGCCATATTTGGAACAGATTTTTTTAAAGTGCAGATTGATATGGAAATGTAACACAATTACAGATGTACACATGCAGACCAGAAAGAGGCAATTTCCTTATCCTCAGAAACTCCTTTTAAAAATTCTCTTAGATCAGTTTTAGCACACTGAGCTAGCAGCAAAGAAAAATAATCCTATGTCTTCCCTCCTCTGGTATGTATAATAACACCCAATTCTTAGTGTGATCATTTTGTACTCAGAGAAGGAGTCTCTGGGCTGTTGCTTCTGAACAATAGCAGCCACTGGGCAAAAGATTAAAGGTCTCAAGATTAAAGGTGGTCCGGCATAAGGCATGAAAAAGAGAATGATGGAATAATGATTGGAAGTCAGCAGACCTCTCTGGATTCTGCTTGCTTGCTTTCAGTTGTTGACATGAAAAAATGCATTTGTTTATGATAAAGAGGATTTTTAAAATGCTCTTTTCGGTCCAGGCTAAATGCTAATTGGAAACAGAATGGAAGAGTGAAATGAATGGAACTGGACACAAAATGGACATTGTGGACATCAGACAATGGGAATGATTATTTGAGTTAAAAGACATAATCATGAAAGACAATTACATGTAGGTTTATGAAGGAATATTAATGTTTAAACACATGCAAATGTGTGCAGGGTCTGTGTAGACAGCACATTGTACCTTCCAGTCTCAGAGTAGCTGTACTTGACACCTGGCCAACAGAATTGCTGGCAACAAAGGTGTAAATTCCTTCATCCTCTGGGTAAGCTTCTGCAATCTCCAGTTGGTAGGTGTCTTCAAACTGGGTCATCCTAAAGAAGCGGGATGGCTTGATTTCTTTGTCTTTGCTATACCACGATATTTTGAGGTCTGCTCCGGCACAAATAAACAAAATGTGAAAGAAAAAGAAATGGGTTTAAGTTTTATTGCGTCATTCTTAATGAGGAAACTAATGAAAAGACTGGGATCTTGTTATATCATCCAGCTCAGAGTTAAAATGACATTGGATTTTGAAACCCCATACCGAGATCTCCCCACTCTCTTACTGCCTTTAGCTTGTTTCCCCATATCTCCTTTATCCTGCCAGTAGCTACTAATATGTGGCCCAGGTATATGGAAGCGTTATTTCTAAATCTTGTTAAAATTTTACAGTAACCACAAGGCAATGTTAGGAGCAGCCATAGTTGGAGCATCAGGTACTATTCCATTTCTCTAATGCTCCAGATAAACTGGGACTGCAACTCACACAATTGCCAGCCTACGGATTTATGGAAGGTTGGTGCAGACAAATTAATCAAAGAGGCAGTTATCCTTCTTCTTCCATTACAACTAACATTTCAGCAAGCTGGATAAATGATCAAGTGGACAACTCTAGGATTTATAGCAATTTTGTGTCAAATGTATCCCCTTCTTTGAAGATTGCTAGCTTTTGCTATTTGGATCCTGTTGAAGTGAATACAAAAGTTTGTTCTAATGAGGCATAGATACCTGGGCTAATAAACACTCATCAACTGATAGGAAGCCCCAGTAGAATGTAACTGTTTTTTTCTTTCCCAATCAATTTTATTTCTAATGACTTCTTCCTTTCCTGGATTTAATTACTGTTTTGCTAACTGTTGCATTCCTTAGCATTTTAATGGGCACATTAAGATAGAGTTATCTTCTACACACCACACAAATGTGTGGTTGGCTGCAACTTATCTAAATATGTATAGGCCAGTTGGATTATTTTATATTAAGGCAGATAGGGCACATATGAATTTGTATTCTGGTATGCATACCAAAAATAAACATATCATTCTATATTTGGATTATAATTGAAAGCTAAGTTTGGTAAGACAGTTATATTTCTCCCCCGTTCCTCTTTAAACTACTCCCAAAGTCATTCATCAGTTCCCTCTTTATGTTTCTTTTATAATAAGAGGCATACAACATTCATATCTCCTTTTAAAAAGTTGTTAGTTCTTAGGATGCAAGGTTACATTCTTTCCTGATAATTATTTCTGGAGTTTTAAAAAAAGATTTGCTCTTGTTTTGACACATGTACAACTTCTATAACCAAGAAGGCACTGTAGAGAATCAGAGAGATGACCTTGAGGGAAATAGGCAAGAACTGCTATTTAAGTAAAGAGGGCTGAAACATTCCTTAAGCCCTGGGAAACAAGATAGCATTTGGAAGAGACTCAGGCAGGCTCTTCCCTAATTCTCCACAGACACACACATAATTTGTACCTGAGGAAGTATGCCCAAATACACACACACATTGAATGTGTGTGTGTGTGTGTGTGTGTGAGACAGAGAGGGGGGGACAGGGAGGGAGGGAGGGAGACAGAGAATTAGCATCCAATTGTATGAAAAGATTAATTGACCTTTTAAAACAATTATGCCAGTATTCATTTTTCATGCTCACAGTACCATTTAAGGTTCTTACCTGTCTTCAATAAAAATCTTATATAAAAAAAATAAGGTTCCTATCTATCAATGCACCAACAGGTTTTGAAGTCTGAAGCCACAAAAGCATGGTAAAATTGTGTATTGTACTTAAAAGGGCAAAATGATTGAATTTTTGACTGATTTTATAATGTTTTGCATTGTAGAAAGACATTCAATCTCGTGACTTTTTGCCTTGCTGTAATATGGACTGACCTGTTTTGTTGCTGGCCAACAATGTTTCAGTTGGCTGACTATATATACACATATACATATACATACACACACACACACACAAGTTATAGCTGTATCATTTGGAAAAACTTGATTTTAACTGAGGTTTTTGTCTTCTGATCAAAGAGTACAACTAACCTGTCCCAGTAACTCTGCACTGAAAGAAAGTAGATTGTCCCTCAGATGTAACAGCATCACGGAGCGGTGTAATGATGGTAGGTGGGTAAATGGGCACTTCTACATCAGGAGAAACAACTTCTGGCACTAAAGAAAAAAATTTAAAAAATGATGATTAGCTTTCCACGGAAAAGCACAGATGACACGATATTGCCAACGCTTTTCAGAAAGCCTTGGGACAGAGAGAGCTTGCCTTCCACAGAAAGGGATGCCGAAGAGGTGGCAACACCATAGTCATTCTTTGCTTCAATTGTGTAAACAGCAGCATCTTCAGGGAAAGTCTCAATCAGCAACAAGGTGTATTCTTGGGCATCATGAAGGAACTTGACCTTAAAGCCGGGAGAAAGAGGCTGCTCATCTTTGTACCAGAAGATCTTGGGCTGAGGTCTGCCTGACACAATAGCACAGAAACGAGCTGGTTTCCCGGATTCCACGGTGACCGGCTGGAGCTCCTTCAGAATTTCAGGTGGCTCGGGTGCTGTAAATCAAACAAGAACTAATCATCATCATCCTCTGAATGTTTCTAGCATGGGTCATTCCATTTTGATCTTAGCCTATGAAACACGCATTTATCCATTCAACTCATCTGAGCTCAGGCACAAAGTTTTTCAGGTGGTCTTCAATAATATATGAAATCTTAACATAAACACATGAATCACACATCCACTGAATACATGAGTTACTTGTTCCTGGCAATATACAAGTCTCTTACATATAGAAAAAGGTACATCAGGAAGAAGGCTATGATAGAACTTTCCCTGCCATGATAGAACTGCCATGAACATTTTCAGCAGACAGGAAGAGTTAGATGCAGGAATATGTGATATGGAAACACGGACACTAAAAATATGAGCATTTTTCTACTTATTGTCAACTGAATGAAAACAAAAAGTAACATAGAAAGAGAACTAGAATATGTAACTTGTTCACACAGGGAGCAGGGGTTTAAAAAAATCTTTAAAATCAAAATAAATCATACCATTTACATAAAGAGTGATGGAACTCCTGTTTTTTCCAGCTAAAAAGGTGTATTCTCCAGCATCTGTATATTTAGTTTCTGTGATGATCATCTTATGGACACGTCTTTCCACCACATAATGATATCTTTCCTCAATTTGGAAGTTGATCTCAATTCCATCCTTATACCAGTGAGTATCAATGTCATCTTCATTGACCTCAAACTCTACTACAGCTCGCTGCCTCTCAAGGACCTGTCAGTTTAGCAGAAAGATAATAACAGTTTTGTGAATAGAACGCATATAACTAGCATTTTTAGTTCTCAAATGGAAATGAAACTAGTTTACTCTGGGTGTCACATAGGATAAATGTACTATTTTTTGAGCTATACAATCAAACAAAATAAGCATTGAATTTATTAAAGACTTTCATTATATATTTCACTTCTTGGGGGTCCTCATCATAATATCTGATGCAGTATATCTCCTGCACTGTGGAATATATCCCCATCTGATCATGTACACGTAAAAAACAGATAAACTTTAGTATAAGACTAGGATCCTAAAAATAAATTTCCTGGAAAAAGGCAGTCAGATGAAGAAAAGATCACTTTGATTGAGTCCTAACAATCAAGAGATGTGCTTTGTGAAGAGTCTAATGTTTAGTTCCAGAAAAATGTAAAAATGTTCTTTCCAACAAAGAAAACATCAGCTAACCTAAATTAAATCTAACTGTGTTGCTGAATACCTAAATGTGGCAAACAAAATTCAGAAAGACAGATGGCAGATCAGCCTTAACAATTCTCCCAGTCATGTGCAATAAAATATGGTAATCCTTTACTGAAACTGTTTTGTAAAATTTTTATACATATATACATGTACGAGAAGCCTACATATATAATTTTTTCTGTTCTATTGCTTTCTTTTTTTCTTTTATTATATTTTCCCTGTATTATTAAATAAAAGCAATTTAAAAAAAACTATCCTGGCCATGTGCTAATCCAGTCAAGAGTATGCTACCTAGTTAATTGATTAATCAAGCTAAGGACTTTGCATTTTACTATTGCTTTTCGGTTTTAAACTGAATTACTAATTTCTCTCAGCTAAAACAATTAAAATGTGTCGCATTTTTCCTATTTTCCAAATAAATTGCTCAAATACTTTTAGGGGGTCAATAAAAATTCTCAACTGGAAGAAATTGTTGTATGTGGGGTAACAGGTTCAATTCAGCAAAATACACTTTTGTCTATTGTTTAAAAATCCTATAGTGAATCAGTATTAAGAATGACTTATAGTTTGAGCTATGTTCCTGAGCACACGTGGCAACCTACCTGAAGAGGTCATAACTTTTTCAGGATACTGACTAATCTGGAAAAGGATATTTGTAACATGATTCAGGGCTGGCATGTGGAATGTAAGATCTTCCAGCCTTGTTTGTCCCTTCTCCTTCATGTGATTACAACCATGAGTGCAAGACAATGGGACAATCCTAGTTGGTCATGATCCCTTGCTGTATCCTTGTTCTTTGCTCCCCCTCCCCCCATCTTCACTGCCCTGGAAGGGAAAGTTCTCATTTGTTCTCTGCTTAGTTTATAAGAAGCACTGCACAGTTTATAGCCCTTGATTCAACGTTGCATGGGAAGCTAATACCGGAAGGGGGCTTTCTCCTTCAGACCTTTCCCTACAACTGAAATATAATCAAGACAACTGACAGAGATGCTACAATGATTCCACTCTCTCCCTGAATGCAACAGTAATAAGGCTTTAGCTCTACTGAGGTTGTATTCAAATAATGAGTGGGACTTATGACAAAATGATGCTTTTCATCTGAGTCTATATTAGGAATGCTCCTGTCCAGGGCTGCTTCTTGTAGTAATGTTTGGAATTTTGTTTGAAGACTACGAAAGAGAAAGAAACACCTTTGTTTTTTTCATTCCACCCCTTATAATCTCACCATTTAGTGATGGGAGTAACTTTTCTATCTATAACATATTCTAACCCTCCCAACCTCCACCTTATCTGCAGCTACAAAATTCTAGAAGCTGTAGGGCTCAAGCTGCCAATTCCATTTCCCAAACTCCCATTTCCTTCCTTCTGTCCATTTCCACATTCCAGAATCCCTGGAAGTCACTGGTCATAGATTCTTACTGGCCTATTTCTGAGGATCCCCCATCTTTCTTTCTTTCTTTCTTTCTTTCTTTCTTTCTTTCTTTCTTTCTTTCTTTCTTTCTTTCTTTCTTTCTTTCTTTCTTCCTTCCTTCCTTCCTTCCTTCCTTCCTTCCTTCCTCTTC